GAAAGTATAATACCTAGAGCTGGCAAAAGTGAGCAAGCCCCTGTGGACAGAGGCTGATATTCTTCATGGGTCATAAGCAACTTCAAAATGCAAAGGCTTCATCAGCTTTTTCACAGGATGAAAACCTTGAGAAGAAACACCAACATTTTACTAATTCATTGGTAGAATATGATGTTTCTCACAAGAAAATGGTGCCAAGTGATGAATAAGGATTGACTTCTTGCCACATTCTAGGTACACAAATGGGTAAACAGGAGATATGATGATTATTAATCACCGCGTTCATCAGAGAGGCACCAAGTGAGTCCTTGATCCTGAAGGGATTTTGGTAGTTGAGTTCAGATTGAAACTCACAAAGTCAAGGTTTTGCGTCTACTCTTCAATGCAAAGAATCACTTGAGGTTAGTGGCTAATAACTCATCCCTTTCGGCTTTGGAGACAAGGGTGGAATGACAATGAAAAATAGAATGTTAAATATCCACCTATATAAATAGAAAGCAGAGACTTTTGATCTCTACCCTCAGACAAGATGATTACTCCTTAAGTGTGTTTCTGAATTAACAGTTTTTTTGGACCTGGTGGAACTAGATTACTCATTGGCAAAAATGGCTAGGAAAGGAATCTTACAAGCTGGAAACTGTGCTTTTGGAATCTGTTATACTGATCCTAATTATCAAATAGCTTAAATGCTATATACATCTGTAGGCCGATATAAATTGTGTAATATATGTACAATTGCTATCCCAAGAAAGACTGAAATGGAAAAATATTTTTGAAAATAATGGCACAAAATTCCCAAATATGGTGAAATAATTTAAAGAATCAAATGCTTAGCAAACTCCTAGCAGGATAAGTATGAAGGAATCCATGGCTAGTCACATACAAGTCACCAAATATAGAAAATCAAAGATAAGGAGATATTCTTGAAAGCAGAGGAAAGATAAAACAGATATAAAATATAAACAATTACAACATCAGATAGATTGAAGAATTTCAGATAAAATGGGGTCTCAAATTATAAGTAATATAAAGAATTATCTCCAGTACCTATCTCCATGCTTGATGTAAAGCTCTGTCATGTAATAAATGCTTACTATATGCAAACACTTTCTTTCATGGGGATTTGCTTAACAATTATATGAGATAATGCATATATCATATTCCCTTTTTCCAGATGTGTAAAAATAAATTAAATTAGGTCCTACATTTGTTACTTTCTACCTGTGTGATTTTTTTCTGGGGTTGGAGGGTGACTGGTTAGAGATGGCATCTTACCGTGTTGCCCAGACTGGATTCCAACTCCAGTGATCTTCCCACACCAGCCTCCTGAGTAGATGGGCCACAGACACACACCACCATGCCATGCCCAGCTCTATTTGTGTGATCTCTACCAAGTTACCACTTGTCTCACTGCAAAGCCCATACTCTAACGATTGTCCCATCCATACCCTCTGGGACCTGCTCCTGAAAAGCCTATGAGAGGCGACCATGTAAAAAGAGGCTGGGCACAGTGGCTGGGCACAGTGGCTCACGCCTGTAATCCCAGAACTTTGGGAGGCCCAGGAGGGTGGATTGCTTGAGGTCAGGTGTTCAAGACCCGCCTGACCAACGTGGCAAAATCCCGTCTCTACTAAAAATACAAAAATTACCTGGGTGTGATGGTGGTGGGCACTGTAATCCCAGCTACTTGGGAGGCTGAGACAGGAGAATCGCTTGAACCTGGGAGGTGGAGGATGCAGTGAGCCAAGATCACGCCACTGCACTCCAGCCTGGGCAACAGAGCAAGACTCTGTCTCAAAAAAAATGGAAAGGGTTTTAAAGTGAAGTTGTCTTGTCCTCCCTGATTTGGGTGCTCAAAGGTAAAGTAATGCTTCATCTTGTGTGTCAGGTCCTGCTGTGAGCCCCCCACATGGATTAGTTTGTTGAACCCTCATGCAACTCCTACTATGAAGGTCCTATAAAACTTAGGCACAGAGGTTAAGCAATTTATCCAAAATTACACTGGTACCTTAGGATCCCAAAGACCAAACTTTGAACAGCTATGTCTGCTGCTTCCAGAGACTGAAGCACTGATAATACTTGTCTTGATGCCTAATGTAATACATACTGACACAAAGAAGTTTCCCTTCCAGAAAAGCTCTAAGCAAAGAAACTCAACCCAAACCTTTGCTTTCTCTTCAAACCTGAGGCTGAAAGGAGAGGCTTTACTTTGGCTGGAGTTAACTATTCAACTGGGTGTCCTTACTTTCTGCTCAGAAGGTGAGTGCCATCTTCCAAGGCTAAAGTTGTACAGTCTTATGTTTGTAGTTTACATCTTCTGTAAAACGTAAGTTTGTATTCTTTGCTCAAGAATGAATACCACTTTCAAGTTTCCAGGAGCCAATTCCAGAGGATTATCACTTCAGGAGGTTTCTTCTCAGGACCAGTGGCTCCTGCTTCTACCAGGGCCAACAGTGTGGTGGATTACCCTGTGATCCTTAGCAGCTGTTACCAGGTGGTCAGGTGCCCCCGTGCTCAGGAGAAAGGAGGCTGCAACAAGGACCTCTTCTTTCCAAATTCTAGGGGTTCAATAGGCAAGAATGAACCTAGCAATAAATAACACATCTAAAAGAAGGCTAACTCATTGAATACACATCCAAAAAGAGACAACCAATGTTGCTCAAGAAATATCTGCACAAGAACAAATAAGAATTTGCCAAATGTAAATTGCTGTACCAGTAATCAGTAAATGAATGAGACCAAACAAAAGTGAGTCCAGCTGGAATATTTTCCTAAGAGGCTAATGCCTTTCCTTCCATCAAAGTCTCCCAAGATGAACTCTAAGAATAGCATATACAATGGAAAAACAACTATTCCAAAACATCTACTACACTGACATTATTGAGTTTTATATTTTGTTGGAAAAATACTGTGACCTAAACATCACATGGTCCATCCAGCGTTAGTTCCCAGTGTTGACTCCTGCTACCAGCTCATCCCTCATCCACTACAGAACTTTCACGAACATCACCTCCAATTACTTCAGTCTCTCATGTTGTTATTGCACTACAGCAACCTACGAGACAAACTCCAAAGCTACAAACTTTGCAGGCAAACAACAACTTAAGTGGGTTCTTCTTTGAGAAAAGGAACTGAATATTCTTTTCCTTCTAGCTAATGAATTTCACCATCATCTCACTTTAGGCCATCAAAGATTTTAAAGAAACAAGGACAGGGTATGACTAGAACTGCATGTTGGACAGTGAAGGCAATGTCTAAGTTCATATTTGGGTTCTCCGTTCTCATATTACTGGAACTTAATAGTGGTTTACCATGTTTAATAAATGGATGATTGATGACTATTGAATTAATATGATTCATTGGAGCAAGTATTTGTTGGACACCTGATAGATATGTAAGGTGATCCCTAACTCATGATTAACAGGTTTCCTAGTATCTTTTAAATTGTTGGTGTGTGTTCCAACACTTTCCAGAAAGTTGTACTGATGTCAATACCCTACAGTCCAATTCTTCCAAGAAGCCACTTTAATACTGGAGCCAAAGACATTTCTTACAGGAAATTCCTGAATGATCTTCTGAACTCCACAGATGTCTCTACTACATTATCACTGATGGGTGAAACTATTTTTAATTGAAAAATTTTATATTAACTACTCTGTATTAAAATACATGTCCTATAGATACTAAGTAATGTAAATGTGAAACATCTAACTACTCAAATCGTGGTGAAAACAGAGATCAGAGAAATGACTTGCTGATTCAAATATTTCATCATGATCTGATAGAAGAAAATGCTTGATATTACTTACTCAGTTGAATAAAAGCATTCAACCGTAAATCCTCATCTTACATAACTCAAACAGACCAACAATTCCTCTATCCATCAAATGAATCCAATATCATTACTCACTTCAACTCTGAACAAATAGCGTTTGGAGTTGATATTGTGGGCTAATACATGCCCTAAACCCCAACTAGTAGATATTAATGGGAATATTTTTCTAATAACAGCTAATAAACAATATATGCCCTTACATAAAATGTACACACCAAAATAGGTGTCGAAAATAAGAAGACAGAGTGGAGCACAAATTCAGTCTGCATATCAAGGACTAAGCTCCACAGTGCTCGCCTTTTTTCAGTTTAAAAAATAATATAAATATTTGAAAATATTTTAAAGTTCATTGTTACACGCATTGCTGTGCGGCTTCCCTATGTAACCCAGGTAAAGAATTTCCTCACTAATTAATCACAACCTAAGCGGAGCGGCAGATAGGTGAGGCGTACTGAGCCAAGGGTGGCCGGTCCCCACAGGATCCGCGCGAAATCCCGAACCTCGCTGGCGATCTGGGGTTTTTTTTTTTTTTGCGCGTGGGAGTAAACGTTTCCCGAGTCCCTCACACTCTGGGCTACTAGTGAGGTTCTGCCAGCATTCCTTAGGCCGCCGCCCACTCCCCTTTCTCTGAACGTCACTAATTTCCTGGAAATAATTCCAGGCACGCATTGCTTCATTAAAGTTAATGAAGCACGTGTCCGCGACAGCAGCCAGCGCCAGCGCCTGAGGGAGAGCCCCGCGCGCTTCCCGGGAACAGCTCCTTTGCAAGCTCTGGCCCAGGGGGTGTGATTGTGAAAGGCGGAGGGGCTCTGCCTCCCGCCGCTGACCTCTTCTCCCGAAAGCCCCGCAATCGTGGGAACCAGCTGCACCTGCCAGCCCGGCCTCGAAGCAGCGTAGGATCTGCAGCCCCAGGGTGGCCGGCGGGAGCGGATGCATGGGCAGAGCCCTGCTGCTGGCCGCGGGTCTACGAAACATCACACGTTCTCGCAACCCCAGCGATCCGCCAACCATCCTCAGTCACGGACCCCTGCAAGGGATGCAGAGGCACCGGCGGCTGCTCACACTCCCTGCACAAACCTGCCGGAGTCTCCACTCGCCGGCCAACTGTAGCCTCCACCTGCGCCCCATGCCCCCGCACAAGCCCCCTCCGTCGCGGGTCCCTTACCTTGTGGCCTTTCCCCGGGGGACACCTGACGCTGTTGGAGACTCCTGCGGTTTGATTCATGTCCAGAGGAAGTTGAGGGGCCCAGATTCTCTACCTTCAAAACTTCCTAGGCGTGTGGAGGGTGGCGGCGGAGGTGCGCGCCTTGCAGGAGACGCGAGGTGGGTCCTCCTTCTGCAGCCGAGTCTGGGCGAGCGCGAGGGGAGCCTCCACGCTGCAGGCTTCTGTGCAGGGGCGGTAAAATCCGCAGCCCTGAGCTGGAGAAGGAGAAGCAGCTGCTGGGACCCCGGAGGGAACCCGGCCGGCGCCAGCGGCTCCGAGGGCGTTCTGCCCAGCGCTGCCTCCACGGGAAACAGTCCAGGACGCTCAAGACCAGAAGCCGGAGCAAACCCAAAAGGAGCTCCAAGGAGATGTGTGTGGGGAGAGCCAGGGGGACGTAGGACTAGGCTCTTCTTCCCTGCGCAAGGGGTGGGGAAACCCGCGAAAGCCGGGGAGTCGCGCGCACTCACGCCCTCGCGCCACCAGGGCACAGCCACCGCTGCAAGGAGCCCACGGGTGCGCGCTCCGCTCCAGCGCGGATCTTTCCACAGTCCCGTCACCCTCAAAAGCTCAGGCTGGAGGGGTCATCAGTGCGGACTCGGGCACCCCACCCAACCGGCAGGGTTAAGGAGGGACTGGAGCCCACTCTTGCCTACAGCTCCTGCGCAGGGCTCCAGCCGCCAAATCTTCCCGGGATGGTCGGGAGGGGGCATAAGAGGTTTTGCCAGGAACCACTGCACAGGCGAAAGAGAGACAGTGGAGTGGGCGGAGGAGGAGCTGGGACGGTACCCGGGCTCGTTAGCACAGGCTGCACAAGCTACAGCTGAGGGACGCCAGCACGCTGTCAGTTGGGCAGGCGCTGCACGCTGAGGCTCAGTAGGTGCCATCGGTGGGCGGCCCAATTGGCCTGACCAGGGCCGTGTTTGGGGGAGGCAACAGAGTACTTCCATTCCTTTCTGCAGTAGAAGTCTCTGCAGCTTCCCAATACTTTTTTTTTTTTTTTTTTCCTTTTTCTCTGTTTCCTCCTTTTTCTTTTGGCACCTGTTAAGTCATGATCTAATTAGTCAGCGTTTAGACGCAGGTGAAAGGAAATTGACCCCAGGGAACTAAGAAAAACGAGTCAAAAAAGAGTAGCTGCTTCATGAAGATTGCACTGCAACATTTTAGGATCTGAACAGGGTACCAAGGGCACGTTAGGAGACAGCCATATTATTTGACAAAACGTTAAGTTTTATCCAGGCAGAGATAGTTGAGTTTGGATATTCTGAATGGGAATCAAGCCACATAATTTGGCTTCTATTTCACAATCCCAAATTCTTGGTTTGAACGTGTATAAATCGAGGGAAGAAGTTAGACTCATTTATGAGGACCAGAGCTACACTTTCTTCCTCCAGTGCACTGGCTTGGTAACAAGTACATCCCCTTACATCGTCCCTTTAAAAGTAAAAGAGAGATTTATTTTAGTTCTGCTATTTGCTAATATTCATGGTCATTTCTTTAATGTTCCCAATTCCAAGTTGGAATAATCCCCATTTTGTAAAATTGTGTTTGGTTGCTTTAGGCTGCTGAAGACATTCAAAAGCAACTCATGAGATGAATATGGAGGCTCAGCTTGGAGATCAGCGTGATGCAGAGCTTGGCTGTGCATGCAGATGTTGGTTGGCATCTTGGCTTTGCCGCCTCCTAGTGCACATCCTTGGGCAATTTATTTCTCTCCTTTATTCTTACATCTGTAAGGTCGGTGTTATAGCTGCACCTTTCCACGTGAGGAAACTGAGGCTCAGAAATACTAACGTGTAGAAGGTGCTTCGCACAGTAGTGGGTGTTCATCAGCCGTTACTACCAACTGCCTGGAACAATTGCTAGCACTTCACATTGATTTACAGACACTATTGCTCAATTCCAGTTTTCTGGCTAACAACTACTCATGCATTTATCTGTGATTACTTGTGTACTTTCCCTCTCCCACTTTGACTATGAGCTCCATTATGGTGGAAGAGAGGGCCCTTGAGATGGATTGAAGGGAGCAGCGTGAGCAGTGGCCCTGAGAGGAGCTCATCATGATCTTGAGCTTGATGACTCACCCTCACGTTAGGAAAGACATTTCATTAATCAAGCTTGAAAACTTTGCACAGAAAAAGATAAGAAAGATGCTATTGATGTCTAATTGGTTTTATGTCACTTATGTGACAATATGTTTGACTTTGATGTAATCAGTTATGATTTAGTAAAATAACAGCGATTTTTTCTTCCATGGCACAAATAGTTTTCTTCCTAAAAATTCCCGCATTGTGAATTTGGGGTTTCACTATGTTTTCCTTTTCTTTTTTTTTTTTTTAATGCCATCTGCTTTTATTTTTAAAAAATTGTGGTATAATGTAGAGTAATATGAACAGATCAGTTTTGACAGTTATGTATATTTGTATAATCCATACCCCTGTTAGACAGGTAACATTGCCGCCACCCCCCAAAGGGTACTTCTTCCCGATAAACTACCCCCATAAGCAACAACTGTTCGGATTTTATCACCATAGACTAGCTTTGCTTATTCTAGAATTTGAAATAAATGAAGTCATTCATTATGAACTTCACTGAATACAATGTTTATGGGGTCCATCATGCTTTTGCATGTCTCAGTAGTTCATTTTTTATTGTTAAATAATATTCTATTGTATGGATGTACCATTATTAGTATATCCATTCTCTTACAAATGATTACATGTGTTAATTCTAGTTTTTGACTATTTGTGGATCAAACTGCTTTAAATGTTTACGTATAGGATTTTTTTTGTGTGAACTCTTGCTTTCATTTATCATGTATTGATATGTAGAAGTGGAATTAATAGGTCCTAAGGTAGATGCAGGGTTGTTTGTTGTGTGTTTTTAGAAACTGCCAAATCATTTCCCAAGATGTTAGTACCATTTTTAAACTCCTTAGGTATCTATTATTGCATAGCAAATAGAGATGCTCCTTGACTTACAATGGAGTTACAACATGATAAACCCATCATAAGTCCAGATGTTCCTGAACTAACAGTGGAGTTACAGCATGATAAATCCATTATGAAGTCAAAAAATTATAAATCGAACTACAGTAAGTTGGGGACCATCCTTAATTGGAAAACAGGGAGGTTTTAAACAAAGCATATTTATTGTCTCAGAGTTTCTGAGGATCTGGAACTCAGGCAAGGCTTAGCTTTGTCCTCTGCATCAGGGTATCTCACTAGACAGCAATGAAGTGTTCATCTGGGGCTGCAGTCTCATCAGAAGGCTCTATTAGGGAAGGATCTGCTTCTAAGTTCACTCGTGTGGCTCTTGGCAGAATTCAGTTCCTCAAACACCTCTAGAGTGAGGTCTGCAGTTCTTTGTTGGTGACTGGTCAGAGGATACTTTCATTTCCTTGCCATGTGAGCGTCACCAGCCAGTGTCATCAGGAAAAGCACTCAAGAAGAGCCAGAGAGCCAGAGAGTACAAGCAAGATGGAAATCACAATCATGTATAATCTGATCTTAGAAGTGACATTTCACCACTTGTGTTTTATTCTATTGATTAGATGCAAGTCACCGGGTTCATCCCACACTCAAGTGGAGGAGATTTTGCAAGAATGTGAATGCCAGGTGGATGGGATTGTTGGAAGCCTTGTCAGAAGCAGCCTTCCACAATCTGCCCTCTGGCCCACAATGATTTGTGTTTCTCCCCATGTGAAATGCATTCACTTTCTTTCAAGATTGCCAAAAGTCATTTCATTACAGCATCAGCTCAAAGTCTAGAATTCAATCATCAAAATCAGTTTCATGTGTGAAGGAGGCTCCTTGGGGTACTTCCTGTGTATAGCTTTCCTCCATGTTTAGATATGTAAAAGTTAAGAGATAAGGTAGTTTCTCACACGTATTCAACATATAATGGTGGGATGGCCATTAGATAACAGGTGTAGGCACACCTGTTCCAAAAAGAGAGAACTGGAGGCACGAAGGAGTTGCTGCTCTAAAGCGATTCTTAAATCCAGCCAGGCAAAGGTTGGGATTTCCTGGCCTGAGGGAGTATTTGTCGAGTTTCTCCACAGTAAAATTACTATTATCCTTTCTCATTTGCATACTGTACTCTTTGTAAGGAGGCGTCTACATGCAGCCTACACTGAAGGAGTGAGGAGTTGTGCTCCACCTCCCCGACGACAGAGCATTTGCATACATTTTTTTTTATTATACTTTAAGTTCTAGGGTACATGTGCACAATGTGCAGGTCTGTTACATATGTATACATTTTTAACATTCTCCCCCACGGGAGACCTGTCTCTTCTCACCCATTCACTTATTTATTATTTAACTATAAAGCATGGGTTTATGAATATTTGTATGATATTTTGGGTTATAATTCAATACTAGTCTTATTTATTTTTGCTCACATTATGCCAGCTTTGGCGATTGGATGATCTTCAGTGGCTCTGTGCACCTTTGGTCACACCCCCATTAGTGTGTGTGTGTGTGTGTGCACGTGCGTGCATGCGCATGTGCTTGGAATATTTCCTTTACGGCACTACAAGGTGCTTCAGACTCATCTTGTATATTTCCTGCCACTAGAATCAGCCACTTCTCTAAGGAGCCCTGGTTATTTTTATTAGACAATGGTATTAGAAACGAATGTCTGGGCATGACTTGTGCTCATGGCTACTGTGCTACTGTTTCAGAGTCCTCTAGCTAACAGAGAATGGTAACATATTTGTACATACTAACACAGGTCATACACAAGTATCTATAAATATTTCTATATTTAACTGTGTATGTCTATATTAGGCCAAATATTAATTCATACTAATGTCTCCAACTCTAATACATTACCACACGAATCATTCCAGCCTTCTTCTCTTACTTGTCTGTAAATTCCCACTCCAACAGACAAGTTGGTAGAAGGCTCCTACCTTCTACCAACCGTTCAATTCGTTGTTCAGTTCTACTCTATATGTACAGCGGTATCAGAATGTTTAACTTGTAGCCAGTGAGAAACAGTGTTATTAACTAGAATGCAGTGGCAGCTGCTGGGTAAAGTTTCTTTTGACTCTGTCTTACAGACTCATTTCCAAAGTTGCTTATGTCAGCACCTTTTCCCCGCCCTCTTCAGTGAGATTGTGTCATGCATTTTTAATAAAGTTGGTTTTGTCACATTCTGCATGCTATTCTAGGATTCACTGACCTCCTAAATACTATTTTAAATGTACATACATTAATATTTACTTTTTGTTCTCAGTGTAATGTATCCACATTGTGTCATACAATACAGTTTCACCACCCTAAAAGTTCTGAGCTTCACCTATTCACTCCCCAACCCCTGAAAATGGTGATTTTTATTATCTCTGTTTTTGTCACTTTCAGATTGTCATATAATGGAAATCATACAGTATGCAGTCTTTTTGGATGGACTTCCTTCAATTAACAGCATGCATTTAAGATTCATCCATCTCTTTTCTGGCTTAATAGCTTATTTCCTTTTATTACTAAACAATATTTCATTCTATGGCTATACCACAGTTTCCTTATCCATTCACATATTGTAGAACATCTTGGTTACTTTCAGTTTTTAGTGATTACGAATCAGTCTTCTGTAAACTTTTCAATGTAGATTTTTTTGTGTGGATGTGAAGTTTCAACTCCTTTGGGTAGATACCTAGGAAAGTGATTGCTGGATCATACGGTGAGAGTATGTTTAGCTTTTTAAGGAACCACTAAACTGCCTTCCAAAGTTGACCGTGCCATTTCGCATTCCCATAAGCAATGAGTGAGAGTTCCTGTTGCTCCACTTCCTTGCCAGTTGTTGGTATCTCCAGTTTGTTTTTGTATTTTCACCTTTCTAATTAGTGTATAATAGTACCTCATTGCTGTTTTTTGTTTATTTGTTAGTTTGTTTTGAGATGGAGTTTTGCTCTTTTCGCTTAGACTGGAGTACAGTGGTGTAATCTCAGCTCACTGCAACCTCTGCCTCCTGGGTTCCAGAGATTCTCCTGCCTCAGCCTCCTGAGTAGCTGGGACTACAGGCATGCACCACCACGCCTTGCTAATTTTTTGTATTTTTAATAGAGACAGGATTTCACCGTGTTAGCCAGACTGGTCTCAAATTCCTGAACTCACGTGATCCATCTGCCTTGGCCTCCCAAAGTGCTGGAATTACAGGCATGAACCACCGGGCCCCGCCTCATTACCGTTTTGATTTGAAAATCCCCAGTCACCAATGATGTTCAGCAACCCTTCTTATGTTTATTTACCATGTGTATATCTGCTTTGCAGAGGTGTCTGTGCAGATATTTTGTCAATTTTATATTGGGGTTGTTTTCTTATTGTTGAGTTTTAAGAGTTGTTTATTAAATATATATAATTAAGCAAATTTGTATTTTGCAAATATTTTCTGGTCTGTTGCTTGTCTTTCAATTCTTCTCCTTGCTTTTTTAAAAAAATTAGCAAATTGTGTATATTTATGGGTTAAAATGTGATGTTTTGACATATATATATAGTAGAAAGATTTAATCAAGCTAATTAACACATTCATCATCACATTAACATTTTGTGTGTGTGTTGAGAATGTTAAAAATTTATTCTTTTAGTGATTTTGAAATATGCAACGTGTTACTCTTAGGTGTGGTCACCATGCAGTGAAATAGATCACTAAAATTTATTTCTCCAGTCTAAGGGAGACTTGGTACCCTTTGATCCATATCTTCTCCTTTCCCATTTCCCTCCTTCATTTTCAGCCCCAGTAACTACTTTCTTCTCTGTTTCCATGAGATCAATGTCTTTTAGATTCCACATATAAATGAGATTATATAATATTTGTCTTTTGGTGCCTGGCTTATTTCACTTAGCATAATGTTCTCAAGCTCCATCCATGATTCTTTTAAAAGTATCTTTCACAGAGTAGATGTTTTTAATTTTAAAATATTGTACAACGTATGAATTTTTTCTTTCATGGATCATGATTTTGCTGTTCTAGCAAAAACTTTATTGCAAAACCCTGGTTTGTCTCTTATGTTTACATCTAGAAGTTTTATCATTTTGTATTTTATGATTAGGGCCCTGATACATTTTCAGTTAATTTTTATGAAAGGTGTAAGGTTTGCATCTGTTTTTTTTGTTGTTGTTTTTTTGGGTTTTTTTTTTGTTTGTTTTTTTTTTTTTGCTATATGTATGTCTAATTGTTCCAGCCCCATTTTTGAAAAGACTCTTTTTTTTCATTGACTTGCCTTTGTTCCTTTGTTAAAGACCAGCAGACTCTGCATAGATTTATTTCTATGTTTTATGTTTCATTGACCTATCTACCTATTCTTTTAAATATATCTGTCTTGATTATTGTAGCTTTATAGTGAGTCTTGAAATTAGGTAATAAAAGTCCTCAACTTTGCTCTTCTTCAGTAGCGTATTGGTTATTCTAGGCCAATTATAGGAAGGTCTTTGGCCTTCCCTTATATTTTAGCTTCTGTTTGTTGATATCTACAAAAGGGCTTGCAGGGATTTTGATTGAGATTCCAGTAAATCTGTAGACAAAGTCTGGGATAATTGACATCTATGTGTTATCAAGTGTCCCAATCCATGAACATGGACGATGATTCTCGTTATTTAGCTTTACTTTGATTTCTTTCATCTGAGTTTTGTAGTTTTCGGCACATAGCTCCTGTTCACATGTTTCCATATGTACGCCTAATTATTTTATTTTTGGTAATACCGTAAGTGGTATTATGTTATTAATTTCACATCCTAAAGCTTATTTCTGGTATACAGAAAAATAATAGACATTTCCATATTGTGGTAGGGTTAATTGCAGCCCCTCAAAAGAAACTCACTAATCCTTGGAATCTGTTGCTATGTTATCTTCTATGACAAAAGGGACTTTCCCGATATAATTACATTAAGAATCTTGAGATAGCGAGATTATTTGGGGGTATCTGGGTGTACCCAATGTAATTACAAGGGTCTACATAAGAGGAAGACAAGAGAGCAAAATCAGAGCTGCTGATGTCATAAAGCTATGCTGATCATTTATGATGAAGAGAGGGGCCATGAGCCAAGGAAAATAGGTGGCCTCTAGATGTTGGCAAAAGCAGTGGGAAGGGACCTTGCTGACCCTGGCTTTGGTTCAGGTAGACTGTATTTGGGCTTCTGACTTCTGTAAGTATAACAATGAATTTATTCTGTTTTAAAACACTAATCCTATGGTAGTTTACTATAGCAACAATTCAAAAATTTTAGAAAGTACATAGTAACATACAAATTATGCAAACATATAATAATACAAAATATATATACGATACTATACATAATAACAATATAAATATATATATTTATATATATAGACAGAGAGTGTGTGTATCCTATAACTTTGTTATGCTACTTCTATATTTATATAGTACTGGTACAAATTATACATATAGTAACAATATAAATTATGTATTTATATAAGCCTATATATATACACGATTGTGTATCCTTTAACTTTGCTACACTACAAATTATTTTCAGAACGCCCATTTCGTTGATTTTCTCAAAGTAGAATCTTTGCAATTTTCTTGATAGACAATCATGTCATCTTCCCAAAAAAGAGAGTTTTTATTCTTCCTTCCAATCTGTTATATATTTCTTCTTTTTCTTGTTTTATTGCACAAGCTAGAAATTCCTGTATGATCTTGAATAGGAGTGGTGAGAAGAAGCACCTTGTCTTGCTCTCTGTCTTAAAGAGAAAGCATCCAGTGTTTCACCATTAGCTGTGATGTTAGCTGTAGGTTTTTGTAGATGTTCTTTACCAAGTTATGGAAGTCCCCCTCTATTCCTAATTTTCTGAAAGTTTTTATCATTAATGGGTGCTGGTTTTTATCAAATGCTTTCTCCACATCAATTGGTATGATGATACATTTTGTCTCCTCTAATTTGGTGATATAGTGTGTTAGAGTGATTCTCTTTTTTTGAGGCTGAGTTTCACTGTGTCGCCCAGGCTGGAGCGCAGTAGCAGGATCTCAGTTCACTGCAACCTCCACCTCCCAAGCTCAAGCGATTCTCCTGCCTCAGCCTCCCAAGTAGCTGGGACTACAGGCATGTGCCACGACGCCCAGTTAATTTTTTTTATATTTTTAGTAGAGACTGGGTTTCACCATGTTGGCCAGTCTGGTCGTGAACTTCGACCTCAGGTGATCCACAGGCCTTGGCCTCCCAAAGTGCTGGCATTACAGGCGTAAACCACCATGCCCGACCTTAAAGTGATTCATTTTTAAATGTTGAACCAGTCATACTTTCCGGGAACAAATTCTGCTTGCTGCTCCTTCTGTTTTTATTATCTGGAAGACATAGAGAATTTGGTTGATTCTTCTTTAAATAATTGGCAGAATTTTCCAATGAGGCCAGGCATGGTGGCTCACGCCTATAATCCCAGCACTTTGGAAGGCTGAGGCGGGTGGATCATCTGAGGTCAGGAGTTTGAGACCAGGCTGACAAACATGGCAAAATCCCATCTCTCCTAAAAATACAAAAATAAGCTGGGCTTGTTGGTAGGCACCTACAATCCCAGCTACTTGGGAGGCTGAGGCAGGAGAATCACTTGAACCTGTGAGGAGGTGGTTGCACTGAGCCAAGATTGCACCATTATATTCCAGTCTGGGCCATAGAGCAAGACTCCATCTAAAAAAAAAACTAATGAAACCATTTGGGCCTGCAGTTTTCTTTTTTTTTATTTACTTTTTTTTTTTTTCTTTTTTTTTTGAGATGGAGTCTTGCTCTGTCACCCAGGCTGCAGTGCAGTGGCTCAATCTTAGCTCACTGCAACCTCCACCTCCTGGGTTCAAGCAATTCTCCCACCTCAGCCTCCCAAGTAGCTGGGATTACAGGCACATGCCACCATGCCCCGATAATTTTTGTATCTTTAGAGACAGGGTTTCACCGTGTTGGGCAGGCTGGTATCCAACTCCTGACCTTGTGATCTGCCTGCCTCAGCCTCCCAAAGTGCTAGGATTACAGGCATGAGCCACTGTGCCCCGCCACTGTTTTCTTTTTGGAAGGTTGTTAGTTACTGTTCAATGTCTTTAATACAAATACACCTCTCAAGATAACCCATTTCTTCTTGTATGAGTTTGTCTGTTTCAAGGAATTGTTACATTTCATCTAAGCCGGGGTCCTCAACCCACAGGCCGTGGACAGGTACCAATCCATGGCCTTTTAGGAACCAGACCACAGAGCAGTGTGTGTGTGAACATTACCACCTGAGCACCTCCTCCTGTCAAATTCTCATAGAAGCGCAAACCCTACTGTGAACTGCCTGCATGCAAGGGATCTAGGTTGCACGCTCCTGATGAGAGCCTAACCAATGCCTGATGATCTGAGGTGGAAGAGTTTCATCCCGAAACCTTCCTGCCATGGCACTCTCCCATGCAGGGAAAATTATCTTCCACAAAACCAGTCCCTAGTGACAAAAATGTTGGGAAGTGCTGACCTAAGCCATCAAATTTATGGGCAGGCAGAGTTGTTCCTAGTATTCTTGTGTATTTCTTTTTATGTCCATAGGATCAGTAGTTATGACCCTGTTTCCATTTCTGATATTGTCAATATGCAGTACTTTCGGGTTTTTTTCTTGGTTAGCTTAACTAAAGGTTTATCAATCAATTTTATTAATTTTTTAAAAAACAGCATTTAATTTGTTTGATTTTCTCCTTTTTTCCTGTTTTAAATATTATCCATTTCTGCTCTTTTTTTAAATTTTTTTTCTTCCATAACTTCAGACTATTGACTTTGGATCTTTCTTCTTATACATTCAGTAACACTATTAATTTGTCTAAGCACTGCTTTCATTGCATCCTACAAATTTTGATAAATTTCATTTTCATTTTTCTTTATTTCAAAATATTTTATATTTCTCTTGAGCCTACTTATTTAGATCATGTGATATTTAGAATTGTGTTATTTAATCTCTTCTGTAGGTTAAATGATTGTCCTCTTGAAATCTCATGTTTAAATTTGATCCCAGTGTTGGAGATGGGGCTTCATGGGAGGTGTTTGGGTCTTGGAGGTGGATCTCTCATGAATAGAGTAATGCCTTCCCTTGGTGGGGGGATGAGTACATTCTCACTCCATTGGTTCCCACGAAAGCTTGTTGTTAAACAGAGCCTGACCCCTCCCTCTTCTCTCTCTTGCCTCCTCTCTCACCATGTGATCTCTGAACATTCTGGCTGCACTTCACCTTCCGCCGTAAGTAGAAGCTTCCTGAAGGGCTCCAGGAAGATGGTGGCACCACATGTCTCGTATAGCCTGCAGAACCGTAAGCCAAATAAACCTCTTTTCTTTATAAATTATCCAGACCTATGTATTCCTTTATAGCTACACTAAACCAATTGAGACAATCTCCAGATATTTGGGATTGTCTAGCTACTTTTCTGTTCCCAATTTCCAGTTTAATTCCACTGTGACCAGAGAACATATTTCCTATAATTTTTATTGTTCTACATTTGTTCCTCTGTGTTTTATGGCCCAGAATGTGAGCTATCTTGCTGTATGTTCTACAGAAGCTTGGGAAGAACATATGTTATGCTGTTTGTAGGTAGTATTCTATTATGTAAATGTCAATTACATCATATTGATTGCTGGTGTTCCTCAAGTCAACTGTATTCACTGATTTTCTCCCTGCTTGAGCTATGAATTACTGAAAAAGAAATTTGAAGTCTCCAACTGTAATGGTCAATTTGTATATTTCTCCCTTCAGTTCCTTCAGCTTTTGCATGATTTTTAGGTGTTTTTGCTCTGTTGTTAGGTGAATAAATGTTTAAGATTGTTGTCTTTTTTGAGAATTGACCCCTTTATCATTATGTAATGCACTTCTTTTTCTCTTATAATTTTTCTTGTTCTGCTATCTTTGTTCACAACTAATAAAGTTCTACTCATTTTTAAAAATTAGTGTTAACAAGATTTATATTTCTTAAAACCTTTACTTTTGACCTATGTCTTTATATTTATAATGAGTTTCCTGTAGATTAAATGTAGTTGGATTTTTTTTTTAACCACTATGAACACCTTTGTCTACAAATTGGCTTCTTTATATCATTTAGATTTAAAATGATTATTGATATTGTTAGGTTAATATCCACCATATTTAAACTGTTTTCTATTTGCTATATTTGTTCTTTGTTTTTTACTTTTCCTACTTTTCTGCTTTTTCTGATTTTAATAGGACATTTTGCACAATTTTATCTTCATTTTTAGCATATTAATTATACATATTTTAAAAATATTTTAAGACTGGGCACAGTGGCTCATGCCTGTAATCCCAGCACTTTGGGAGGCCAAGGCAGGTGGATCACCTGAGGTCAGGAGTTCAAGGCTAGCCTGGCCAACATGGTGAAACCCTGTCTCTATAAAAACACAAAAGTTAGCCAGGCATGATGGCAGGTGCCTGTAATCCCAGCTACATGGGAGGCTGAGGCAGGAGAATCACTTGAACCCGGGAGGAGGAGCTTGCAGTGAGCCACTATTGCATCACTGCACTCCAGCCTGGGTGACAGAGCGAGAGTCCATCTCAAAAAATAAAAAATAATTAACAATAAAAATATTTTATTGTGGAAAACAGTGTGGCGATTCCTCAAGGATCTAGAACTAGAAATACCATTTGACCCAGCCATGCCATCACTGGGGATATACCCAAAGGATTATAAGTCATGCTGCTATAAAGACACATGCACACGTATATTTATTGTGGCACTATTCACAATAGCAAAGACTTGGAATCAACCCAAATGTCCGTCAGTGACAGACTGGATTAAGAAAATGTGGCACATATACACCATGGAATACTATGCAGCCATAAAAAAGGATGAGTTCGTGTCCTTTGTAGGGACATGGATGTAGCTGGAAACCATCATTCTCAGCAAACTATCACAAGAACAGAAAACCAAATACCGCATGTTCTCACTCATAGGTGGGAACTGAACAATGAGATCACTTGGACACAGGAAGGGAAGCATCACACACCGAGTCCTATTGTCGGGAGGGGGTAGGGGGGAGGGATAGCATTAGGAGATATACCTAATGTAAATGACAAGTTAATGGGTGCAGCACACCAACATGGCACATGTATACATATGTAACAAACCTGCACATTGTGCACATGTACCCTCGAACTTAAAGTATAACAAAAAAAAAAAAGAATAAAAATATTTTAATGGTAGCCCTAGTTTCCAACATACATTTTAAGTAATCTAACTCCACCTTTAAATGACACTATGCCACCATCATTGCTGTCATTCACTTCACTAATCATACGATACCATCATCCTATTATTACTTTAAATAGTTATTTTCAGATCAATTAAGAATAAGAAAAGAAAAAAAGATTTTCTTTTACTTTTATCTATTCCTTCTTTGACACTCTTCCTTTGTTACACAGATCTGAGTTTCTGACCTTTATCAACTTCTTTTTCCCTGAGGAACTTCTTTTAATTATTTTTTACAGGAAAGGTCTGATGGTAATTATTTCCCTCAGCATTTGTCTGAGGAAGTCTTTATTTCTCAAGTTTGTATTTTTTTTCTTTATTTTAGCACTTAAATATTTCACTCCAGTCTTCTCGCTTCCATATTTCCGATGGGAAGTCTAATTTAATTCTTGTCCTGTTTTGCTGTAAGTCAGGTTACTTTTTCTCTGACTCCTTTGAAGAATTTCTTTTTGTCTTTGGTTTTCTGAAGTTTGTATATGATTATTTTGGTATTTCTCCTGTTTACTGTTCTCTGTACTTCTTGACTTGTGATTTGCTGCAGTTAATTTGGGAAAATCCTCTGACAGTGTCACTTCAAATATTTCTTTAGTTTCTTGTTCTTGCTCTTCTCCTTCTGGTATTCCAAATGGATGTATATTATACTTTTGAAATTATTTCTGTTGACCTATCTTCAAACTTACTCATTCTTTCCTTAAACTTGTTCTGTTGATGAACCTATTGAAGTCATTCTTTGTGTCAGTGATTTTTATTATTTGTAGCATTTCCGTTTGATTTTTTCCTAGGGTTGCCATCTCTTTCTTACATTACCCATCTATTTTTGCATATTGACTATTTTCTCCATTAGAGTCTTTAAAATCTAAAACATAGTTATTTTAAATTCTCTATCTGATAATTTCCAAATTTGTGTCAAATCTGAGTCTGGTTCTGATGCTTGCTTTGTCTTTCTGACTTATTTTTTCTTACCTTTTTCATACCTTAAAAATCTCCATTAAAACTCATACAAAATGTATTGAATAGTAATCAGTGAGGCAAACAGGCCTTTAGTGTGTATTTTTTGTTGTTGTTATTAATCTGGCTGAGAATCAAGCTATATTTAATGTTTGCTGTAGATGTAGGTAACGGTGGCTTCAAATTCCTCTGCTATCCTTACTTTGTCTCCACTCTTGACTTTCAGCATCCTTATATACTCCTCCAAAGAGAGTCTGTGTTTTCTGGTTCTTTTAGGTGTAATCCACAGTTGTTATATTGCAGCTCTGTTAGTGTGGTGAGAAGGTTGGCATAGGGGAAGTATGCTATAATCTTATGATTACACCTCAGTCTTTTAGGGGGCCTATGTCCCTTACAAGCATTTCTTAGCTTTGCTTCTCCCTTACAAGGAACAGGAATGGTATTGGTGTCCAGAGTGTGAAAAGTGACTTTCCCTCAAGTGGGATAAGTCTCTAATAACGGTTTTATCCCTTACTGGAGGGTAGGTCTTTGTTATGGAGAACATTCTGGGTATATTTCACAACAACTTTTCTTCCATGTCCCCTAGAGGACCATGATGGCATTTTTCTCAGCTCTTTACTGTGAGAGCTTGGTGGGGCTTCTGGAAGTAAAATCCACAAGTGTGTGGGATGCTAAGAATGTGACCCCAGGAGTTTATCACTGTCACACGACTCCACACTCGGGCTCTGGAAAATCATCAGCATTACCACTGAAGTGTTACCAAGAGTTTGTTTCTAGTAGTTTCTGTGCCAGGTAAACAAATCTCAGCTGTGACTCCCCTAATTCATCTATCTTTGCAAATTTCTGGGTGGCTGTTTGCTGTAGGAATTTCATTCTCGTTTGGATACACGAATTGTCACTGATTTTCAGTTCACTCAGGTTCTTCTTGTGGTAAGAGTAGAAGCAATGACTTTTAAGTTCTTTACACACTGGAATTAAAGCCAGATGTCTCTTAATGTATTCTTTTTTTGACCTTATGCTCTCCTGTTTTATTCTTCCCTCACTTTATGGCTCTTCTATCACACTATAAACAGCAAGAGAAAAACAGTGTCTTCCTCACTGCCTGGAAATCTCTTTAGCCATGTAGCCAAGTCTATTAGGTATATCTTCTGTCTTCAGCATAACTGCAGACCACATTATCACTAGGCTTTTGCCATATCATAATAAACATCTCTCTTCCGATGAGACCACGGGGAGCTATCTCAGAAGCAGCCTACTATAACTCTCATCACGATTTCACATGATTAATACGAAGGCCAGAAAATTCAGCGTCTTGTGGCCAGCTTTACTAATAAATCATATTTTTGACAGTAAAATCTGTAGCTTACAGATATGATTGTATTCATTAGGATCCGTTTTTGGTCCTGGATAAGCAAGGCCATAGAATAGATGACACAGCATTAGGCTTGAATAAACAAAGTACAAAGGAGGTGAGGGGTCCTCAACGTTTCTTCTTTCCTCCATTGCTGCATATTCCCAGACTCTCTCCCACATCTCGCTCTCCTTCTGGACACCTGTGAGTTCTGTCCATGCTTCTCCGCAATGTAGCTGTTGCTTTCAACACCCCCAAGCATCTTTGCTGTGGCTCTTAAGCTGAAACAAACGCAGACCACCCCAAGCCTCATCTGATAGAGGAATCCTCAAAGCCGAAATCTGGACAAGTCTATATTTCCAACTTCCTTTCCTAACAGGAATAAGGAAATCAGTATATAGAACAAGTTGAATATGACTTAGGATTTACACAATGTAATGCAGCCTCACGTCATGGGGTTCATTTGGCTACCAATTTATCTTGCTTGACAACTACATATATTGCTTTTTAAACATTTCATTAGGAATGTAAAAACACACAAGTCAATATCTGAGGAAAGAATGGACATCTGACTTGGGTTTCTGCTAACTTGCTCTGATGAGTAAGCTGTAAGTCACTGTTATGCCTACAATCCTGTGAGTTTTTAAATCAAATTTCGGTGACAATTTCATGTTTCTGATAGTAAGATTTTAAATTCCCTGCTCTTACTGTCTTTCAGTAGTCCATTCTTTACACCAACTAAGCAGGCTGCAAGGCACTAAAAATGAACTTACCTATTGTTCATTATATTTTTACTGGTTAAACTTTCCATCTTTCAGAAGAGCTGGAAAGTTTTAGTTTAGCTACTTGTTATGCAAACTCATATCCAGCCTTTACAGCAGAGGGAGGCAGAAGCAATAACCAGGGACATTTTTAATGTGACTAAAATGCTGCCGTCTCACCTTTAGTCCTGTATCTGGGAGAAGCATGAATTGAATTTATTGTAGATCATTCTTTCTCATCAGTCTAGAGGCAGGACTGAGAGAAAAGTCTCCATGGTAATGAAGGTTTTCCTATGATGAACACCTAACACTTCCACAATTACGTTAGTATTAGTATTCATTAATATTTTCTGAATGCCTTTTGAGGTTTCAATAGAGGTGATGCTTCTGCCCAACACTCATATCAAGTACATATTTGACACCTTGGCATCTAGGGCAATTCTGGAATGCCCCTGAACCCAATAATGTCATGAACCAATTGCCAATAACTCTGGATACATACTGTGAAAGCTCTATGTTCCTAGGACCTATGATTGATAGTTGCATATTTGTAGGCACATCATGTAAAGTAAGTAAACGCAAGTAAATCCAGTTGAACTTGGAATTTTGGTTGCTTTAGCACTTTCTGCCATTATGAAAGACCATTGATTACATACCCCCAGGCTAGCTGTGAAATAGTCCAAGATTGCCTTTGGCAAACAATTCCCACCCATCAGAAGACTGTTCTACATATCTTCTTCTGTGGAGACCTATACCATTGTACCCATTATCTGCCCCTGGAGTGTACCCCGTGCAAGTTCCTTTGGCTTCCTACGGCTTACTGGAATGCTAGCTCTGCTATTTTTTTAAAAATGTAATTGTCCTGTGCTTTGTTTCCTTCCTTCCAGTCTATTAGTTCTTTCCAATTCATAGCCTAATTATTTAGCTTTTAGATAGTCTTTTCAAGGCATCTCATAAAGAAAGAGAAAAGGGTTATTAAAACCTTGCAGTGAGCAGTGATAGGAATATAAATGTAACTCTTTGGCAGGAGGCTATCCTAGGGTTTCTGCACTACTTTGAAAAAGTCAACAGATAGGGGTAGGTGAAGACCACAGTAGTTTTACTGTTAAAATGTCTACACATAACTAATCCTGACTGTGCTCTGTCTTTGGAAGGTTATTCCAAATGGCACTGATGCTGGAGGAAGAACTGCGGAGAGGGACCATATGGACCTCCATTGCCTTTGCCACCGTCTTTCCCATGCATTGCAGCAGACTCTGTTGGGGCCCTGCCCATATCCTCTTGGCACTGGCTGTATCTGTGCCCACCAGCCTGACTTTCAATTTCAAGCACCTATGATTGCTGCCTGAGGGCTTTTGCTGCAGCCTGTCTGGGTATATGACAGCCTGGAGGTTTCATGGAATTTTTGCCCCCACCCACAGCCCTAGAGAACTCACCAGTGCGACCTGGCAAATAAATACCCCAGCCCTCAACCCTAAGATAGGATAACTTTGAGGCACATGTTCCAGCCTGTCTTTCTGATTTCCCAGGGCCCACACTAGTCACCCTGTATTGGGTATACAGGGCATACACCCTGTATTGGGCGCACCCTGTATTGGCTTCCCTTACCTTCCATATCTCATAGGGTCGTCATGGGAACGCCCTGGCAGGACTCCAAGTACCTAGAGAGAAACAATGAAGGCCTCTGCTGCTGTGCTTTGGAATCCATGGCAGCATTTGCTTGCAGTCACAGCTTCCTGCTCCCAGCCCATAACCAGAGTATGGCAGGGATACTAGCGCAGGCCTCATCCTGGCAGGTGTGGGACCTTGCTGGCAGCCAGCTCTGGTTCAAGGACTTCCTGAAGAACTTCTTCATACCCTCCAAGTCACCCAAGCATATTTCCTTCCACTGGGAGTAGACTTAATGTTTTAATCTGGTAACATCCCAGGCACTCTATTTTTTATTTTTTCCCACACAGGTATTTTCCCTAATCAAGTCCTTTCCTGTTTATTCCCAACATGGTGTCTGTTTCTTGGAGAACAAAGACTCACATTTTAATTCCCACTCCCCCAGTAGTGTTCTTGGCATCATCTTCCCACTGAACTGCTTATATGTGGATAATCCTTGATTTAGAGTCTATTTCTAGGAAGAATCCTGAACAAAGACGTATTATGAGACATAAGCTAACAACCATAACTTTAATTTTTCATTTCATAAAATTATATAATAATTAGAACTAGAAGGGGCCTCAGGTGAGATACAGCTCAGCACACTCATGTTTCATATGAAGAATTGAGAGAAATGAGTTTATCTCTCAGCTGAGATCCAGGCAGCAGTAAGAGATAACTTCGGATAATTATTGTGAGCCTAAGTTTTGCAGATTGACGACTTACCTATCAAGGCAATCATTCCAAACAATTAATACAAAATCGTTTGAATCTGCAGCTCTCTTACAGCAGTATTTTTGAACCAGTAGGCTGTAAATCCCAGGAGTACAAGAGCTATGAATTTGTAGATTCCTTGCAACAGGTTACAAGAGTCTAGAGTCTAGATATGTAACGTAGTTAATTCACCTGTCCACAACTATTTTCAAAATGTGTTTAGAAGCTCCTGTGAATAACATTGTTAAGGGAATTAGGATTTCATTAATAAAAATACATATTTTAATTCAGTATCTAATTTTCTCAGCCAGTTTGTGCCACTACTTCAGCAACTCTCTGGTAAAGTCATATGGATTGTTGTGACATTTGCAGAGTGGATTTCATATTAGGAAAATTTGGAAAGTAAAGATCTGTTCCATTCCCTGCTCTAAAGAAACCATGCAATTGGGATTAGGTGAATCCTTCCCTAATGTCTTTTTCTTTCACTAATAAAATCCCAAATCTTAATTCCGTTGCATTGGTCTGATTCTATGGCACTCCTGAAGATATGCATGTGCTTTTTGAACTGATTGTGTAAGTTAATTCCATGTACCAAACTGTTATTTCTAAAATGCTATAACATTCATATGACAAAGTCCATTCATTGTCTAGGTCTTACTGTATTAATTAAATGTTAAAATCATGCTGATTGAATTCAGCAAACTGACATCAATATTCCACTTGTTTTTTCCTTACTGGTTTATTTTCATCCACCATCATTGTATGCCCCTTATATATACTAACCATATATTCCTTCTGACAGCCCCACACACTTCTCTCCCTGATTCTTGTTTCAGGCACGCTGCTTTCCACATTTGGAGCAACCTCCTTCATCCATTCTGGCAAACACTATTTTCTTCGAAAACTCAAATGTATTCAAACACCCTTTTCTTTGAAACTCATTTCCTCAATAAGACCTGCACAGTTTAGCACTGGCAGCTCTACTGACTCAAATGCACTAATTCCTCAGGAATTCATGCCAAAATATGATATTGATGGTTAATATACACACCATCACACCTATACACAATATAGGTCAAATGTGACTCTTGAAATTTAGAGCCTGTTTTTCTGAAGGCAATCTTCCACTCCACACACTGGAAGCACTAAAATATTTCAATGCAGAGACATAAAACTTGCGCTATCTATCTATCTATCTATCTATCTATCTATCTATCTATCTATGAATTGTTATAGTTTGATATATAAATATATAAAGAAAAATAAATTATTACACTTTGAAAAAAGTCATTGAGGCTCTTTTTATTGACATGGGTGGAACTGGCTAGAATCAGTGAGGTTAATGATTCTTTAATTACATTCTACAGCTTCATTAGTAGAACCTTATGAATTTAGCAAAAATATGGACTGGTTTACTTTTTGTTTTTTGAAATGGGGTCTCACTCTGTCACCCAGGTTGAAGGGCAGTCGCGTGATCCCAGCTCACTGCAACCTCCTCTTCCCAGGCTCAAGTAATCCTCCCACCTCAGCCTCCCAAGTAGCTGAGACCACAGGCATGCACCACCGTGCCTGGTTAATTTTTTTGTATTTTTATTAGAGATGGGGTTCTGCCATGTTGGCCAGGCTGGTCTCAAACTCCTGAGCTCACATGATCCACCCACCTCAGCCTCCCAAAGTGCTGGGATTATAGGCATGAGCCACCATGCCTGGCCTGGGCTGGATTACTTTTGTATTGTCTATGAGGATGAGTTTGACTAAGCAAATCAATAATGTAAACAAAACTGAACTACTTAAGAGAAAAAATTATTTTCACATATTTAGCATATCAGTTATCTTTCTTATCATGTTAAATATACATGACATGCAATATACCATTTTAAAGTGTAGAATTCAGTCGTGTTAAGTGCACTCACAATGTTGTGTAAACATCACTGCTATCTTGTTCCAGAGCTCTTTGATGATACCAAATGGAAACCCCATCTTTCTAATTGGAAGTATCCTCATTTGAAATCTACAAGAATACTCATTACAGCATTGCTTGTAATGCTGATGGGAAGTTGGAAACAACCTAAATATTTTTTTGCCGGGAGAGCAGATACGGAAAATGAGGTGGATACACATGAAGTGCTATGCATTTGGTAAATCAAGAATAAAATACATCCATAGCAACATGGTTCGACTTTTAAAAGACTCTGGACTGCATAGGACAGCGATCTCCAAGCATTTCTGTAAAGGTTCGGTTGGTCAGTATTTTAGGCTTTGCAGGCCAGATAATTTCTTGCAACTACTTATTAACTGCAGTTGTAATGTGAAAGCAGCCATACACACTTTATAAACTAAAGCGAGTACTTGTGTTTCTATAAAAATTTATTTATAAAGATTAAAATTTGCATTGTATATAATTTTTACATGTCATGAAATGCTATTTTGATTTTTTTTTCAATGAATTAAGCATAATGGAGCTGTAGGCCATTATCTTTTTTTTTTTTTTTTTTTTGGAGACGGAGTTTCACTTCTTGTTGCCCAGGCTGCTGGAGTGCAATGGTGCGATCTCGGCTCACGCAACCTCCGCCTCCCAGGTTCAAGCAATTCTCCTGCCTCAGCCTCCTGAGTAACTGGGATTACAAGCATGTGCCACCATGCCCAGCTAATTTTGTATTTTTAGTAGAGACGGGGTTTCCCCATGTTGATCAGGTTGGTCTCGAACTTCTGACCTCAAGTGATCCACCCGCCTCAGCCTCCCAAAATGCTGGGATTACAGGTGTGAGCCACTGCACCCGGCCTGTAGGCCATTATTCTAAGTGAACTAACATAGGAAGAGAAAACCGAATACAAAATGTTCTCACTTACAAGCAGCAGCTAAACATTGAGTACACAGGGACATGAAGAAGAGAACAACAGACATGCGGCCTACCTAAGGGTGGAGGGTGGGAGGAGGCTGAGGATGGAAAATCTACATATCTGGTACTATGCTTATTACCAGTTAGGTATTTTGTGATGAAACACAGTATGTGATCACGCACAAGTATGTAATGAAATCTGTACAGTAAACCCCTGTGGCATGCAATTTACCCAAATAACAAACCTGTACGTGTACTCCCAAAACTAAAAAAAAAAAAAAAAGTAAACACCAGTCTTAGCTCAGTCTGTACAAAAACAGGTGGTGGGCTGAAATTAGCCAGTGGGCCATAATTTGCTGACTCCTAACCTAGAAGAAAAAGTAAGAAAGAGCATGAAATATATCATAGAATATAACTTCCCAATATTAAAAAGATATGCACCAAAGCATCAATGTATATTTCCTAGAATATGTCCAAATAAAGGTTCCATCTTGAAATCATAAAAATAATTATCTATGGGGCAGGTGCGGTAGTTCATGCCTGTAATCCCAGCACTTTGAGAGGCCAAGGTGGGCAGATAATGTGAGGCCAGGAGTTCGAGACCAGCCTGGCCAACATGGCAAAACCCTGTCTCTACTAAAAATATAAAATTAGCTGGCCATGGTGGTCCATGCCTGTGATCCCAACTACGCAGGAGGCTGAGGCATGAGAATCACTTGAACCTGGGAGGTGGAGATTGCAGTGAGCCAAAATCACGCCACTACACTCCAGCCTGGGTGACAGAGCAAGATATTGTCTCAACAAAAAAGAAAAAGAAAGGAATACTGTGCAGTCATAAAAAGAATGAGTTAATGTCCTTTGCAGGGACATGGATGAAACTGGAAGCCATCATTCTCAGCAAACTAACACAAGAACAGAAAACCAAACACTGCATGTTCTCACTCATCAATGGGAGTTGAACAATGAGAAGACACAGACACAGGGAGGAGAACAACACACTGGGGCCTGTCGCGGGGGTGGGAGGCAAGGAAAGGGAGAGTATTAGGACAAATACCTAATGCATGCGTGGCTTAAAACCTAGATGACAGGTTGATGGGTGCAGCAAGCCACCATGGTACATGTATACCTACGTAACAAACCTACACATTCTGCACATGTATCCCAGAACTTCAAAAATGAAAACAAAAAGTTATCTATAGAGGGGGAAAAAGAGTGGTAATGTGTTATGGGTATAAAAAAGAAATTAACAGATAACAACAACAAAAAAGCCTTATTGG